CGCAAAGAACCCTAACTAACTCATGTCTGTATTTTCTATTTCCTACAGTAGACATATTTTGTCTTTATATCCAAACATGAAAATTAATGATGCAGTGACAATAAAAACAGTAAAACATACCAGTCTGAAATATGTTTGACTATAAGAAACCTGGGTTAAATGTGAGACTTGACCTCTACTACTCCATCGCTGCTCCATGTTGCCATTTTACAGTGACAGCAGATCAATAGTATTATCTTCCTGTAAAAACAGAAAGTGTTTTCATTTACATTTGTCATAAGTTTATGGTCAATGAGAGCCTACCAAAGCAAGACTTGGCTTTATTGGAAAGACAATAGTTTCACCTTTGCACTTGATACATTTATTTAATGCTTCCTCTGTGTCATCCAGTAGGTATACAAAAACGAATAATACCCAGTTTCTGCTCCTTAGGTGCTTCTCACTGAAAAATGAGGCAAAAGCATTGCAGATGAAGTGCAATAAAACATGGCAAGGGCTACTATAGAGATATGAACGATGTTCCAGGGAACCTAGAAAAGGAAAGACATGAACTATCAGTTAAAAACTTCTAAACTTTAGAAAGAAAATAACAGACTCAGCACTTACTGTTTTGGCTAAAAAGTATGATATATCCAACTATAAATGTACACTTATTTGCAAAGAGAAAGATCACTCCAGTTAGGAAACATGGAGAGCATGCTATTATTATTCTTTTAGTGACAAAACCATATTAAAGGGTGAGATTTATATTTCTTTTTAAAATGCATCTAATAAACTGTCGCTATAATTATCATTTAGTGTTAAATCCTTTTGAAACACATTGCAGTATCCTGATCATTGACTTATTTTTTAAAAATGAGAGAAATTCACTCATTTTGGCACCTCCTTCTAACCAACCCTGCTAATCAAACCTTATTATATAAGGCATTTACTTTACTTTTCCCAAAACTCATTCCCTGTTTCCCCAGTACCAACAGTATTAAAAGGTTCCCTAGAACCTCCCACTGAAGAACCCTACCAGATTCCGTCTCTATACCATGCTTTGAGGAGGATGGATGGATTTCTCCAAAATGTAAGTTCACATTAATTCTCACCTGTTGTAGGTTCCTTTCTCTCAAGATATAATCTGATAGTGACTCATGCCAGCGTGTTGGCAAAGATAATGATGTCTCATCCCTGCTTCCAGGTAACATGTTTGCATTTGAACTGAAGCTTTCTGAAGAAATTAACCAAAACAAAGAATCCTGATCCTAGTAGTGAAAATGTTGATACTTACAATAAAAAAAAAAAAAAATCCTATACCCTACTCCTAGACATTCTAATTCAGAAGTTCTGATGTGAGGCTTTAGAAAAATAAATGCATCTACATTTAAAAAAAATTTTTTTAAATTCTCTTACCTCAGAAGGGATTAGTCTTGGGGGAGAAGTTTGGATACTGAAGGAGGGAAAAAATAAATAGCCACTGCTCTTATTTCAAAATAACCACGTAAGTTCCAAGCAAAAATCAAGCTCAGTCACATGCACATGTAGGTGTTTGGGGACGGGCACCAAGTGGAAGTGTTTGTGTCTGATGGCCTCCTGATTCCTCTGTCTCTGTCCTTCTGGGGTCACCTCTAGTCTTCACAGGAAAAAATAAGAAACAATGACAAAGGGATGAGCTTTGGAGACAAATAGCCCTAGACTGATAAGTGAGCTCTGCCACTTTCGAACACTGTGATCTTGGGCAAGTTACTAAATGTCTCTAAACCTTCATCTCCTCATCTGGAACATGTGAGTAGGATCTCTTCTGCGCAGTGATCTGGGAGAACTAAATGATGTCACGCAAGCTTCTGACACATACATGTGCAGTAATTAGTGGCTATGAGTACACTTGGGCTCATGCTTTTACCAACAGTAGGAACATACCTAACCTTGCCTCTCCCTAAAATAACATACGGTTCAAACCCCACAATAAACAAACATGTCTACACCTTCTTTCATGGTACTCTGTAAACTAATTCATACAAACCTGAAAATGCCAGCTGATGGCATTTGTGCCACAAAGAGTCTCTGTGGGAAACAAGATGCGTGGGGAATTGATACTTGAATTTAAAGTGTGTGGTCTCTTGTTGTCAATCACACCAGAAGGAGGGCAAGGGGCACCCGGGCCATAAGGCTGTGGCATAAGGAGGCACGGGTTACAACACTGCTTTTTCCTGAGAACCTAGGACATTCCTCCTGGGTTTTCCATGACTTACTATGCAGTTACGCATTCCAGTTTCTATTTCTCCACCTGTTTAAACCTTGATCTTCCAGAAGAACTGGCAGGATTCAGGTTGTCAATATCGTGGAAACCCACACAGAAAGGTGTCACGGAAATGCTTTTTTAACTGAGACTGATTTAAAAGTGCCCCTGTATAGAAATCAGGAGTGTTGTGTTCTAAATTTAGCACTGTGTCAGGAAGAGGAGTACAGTGAGAGCAATGCAAAAGGAATCAGGAAATATGGCTTTCGGTCCCAGTTATTTCCAAACTATCTCTGTGGACTTTAGCAAATCACTCAGCTTTCTGGACTGGGAGCGGTTTCCTGTCGAATGACGGAATTAAAATAGACCGATACATCTGGGCTTTGACTCACCCTGGGTCCCCTAAGAACTGTTGTCACTGCTCATCAAAAAATCCAAACCCTACCTTTCCTCCAAACTCCAGCTCAGCCATGACTCATTTTCTTTGTTGATAATTATGTGGTTTGCAGGAAAAAGCCCTTGTTCTTAAGAGATGCATGCCTAAGTATTTAGGAATGAGGTGCCAATATGTCTACAACTTACTCTCAAATGGTTTTGAAAAATACATCATATGTATACATTATACATTATATGTACACATATACATGTATGCATACATTTTTATACATAGAGGGAAAGCAAATACTAAAATATTACTAAATGCACTAAATCTCACTGCAGGTCATATTGGTGTTCATTTTATGATTCTTTCCATTTTTTCCATCTGTTTTAAATTTCCAAAATCCAATGTTGGAGAGAAAGACAGCTCCCGTTCGATCTCCTCCATAAGGCCTTTCTTGAATTAGCTGCAATAACTCCTCCAAATTCCCACAGCTCTTATGTGCTCTGTGTTTTATCACTTCCTACCTTGTATTTTAGTGATTTAAGTACTCACATAATGGGTCATAAAATGGCTAACACAATACTCAACTATGCAGAGAATATTTGTTCTAAAATGACTCTTTATTTAGTTTACAGTTTCTCTGTCCTCCTTGCAAGACCCCGTGCTGCTGAAAACAGGAGAAAATAATCAAAGCAAATTTTAGTCCAATCTCATAATCTCAGATCGATCACAGAATTTAAAATCACCACTGTAAACAATTGCTTTAAGTAGCCCAGTCAGTCATGTTTGAATAAAGGCCAGGCCCTAGGTCCCCCTACTCCCCCTTTTTCCCCAGGTGCATTTGGGTGCAGGAGAGAGACTGGTGGGGTTCAGGAGATGACATGGGAAAAGGTCCCCAAGATCAATTTACAAAACTGGCTAGTGATACTATATTCATCAGACAAGCATTTATTCTATACAGGTCCTTGAGGGATGTTTCAGTGTTACAGGAACCAGTAACATGGAGTGTCACTGCAGTGTACCCTGGAGGGACAAGTATTGGCATCCCAGTCTCCCTGGGCTGTTGCTCCTATCTCCAAAACATGACTTCTGCTATCATTGCTCACCAAAATGTCAAAAAGTGATCAATAATAATTTGATATTAATAATAGCTTATGTACTGAGTACTTAATAGGTGCCAGGCCCAAGGTCGTTATATATAATATTTTATTTAATCCTCACAATAGCCAGGTGAGTTAGCCTTATAATCGTTATAATAGAGACAACCATTGATCTCTTCCTTGCCTGAATATTGAATGAACTACTACTGACTGCCATGCTATGTTTGAAACTCCCATTGTCTGTGACCTCCCAATGTATTCACCCAACAACACCTCTTCTCTAGCCATATTATTTTACTTTCTACGTCCTATAAATGTTGTAAGTGTTCTGACCATCACATCTTTTTAAATTACCTTTTACATTCCCTCCAGTCTCCTTTACGCCTCTTTAGAATCCATGCTTTAAGGACCAATATTCATTCAATCATTCAGCACGCTTTTATTGAGCACTTACTTTATGCTCAAACCCATTGTCTTCTGTTCTAAAAGGGCAATTCCAAGAAAAAGAAAAGCAGGTGTGATTCCTACTATCACAGAATTTGCAATCTAGTGACTGTCTGTGCTTCAGTCTTGTCCCAGTTATTCAAACAAGAATAGCTATCTCTTGCATGCCCGGTGAAACCTGCATGGCATTTGTATCACCCATTTAACAGGTATCAAGCACAGCTCTGTAGAATTAAGCATCCTATCCAGGGATTTATTTATTGAGCATAACAATAATAACATTGCTAGCTTTCACTGACTGTACATCTCCTCTATGCCAGGCACTCATTCTATTTATATTATCCCTAGTTGTCTCACTGACATTGCAGGAAAAGGGTGATTATTTTTCCTTTTTACTAATGAAGCACTTGAGGCTCAAAGACACAAGTAATATGTCCAAGGCCACATAAATAGTAAATGACACTATCAGCTTGAGAACCCGTGTCCCCTGGCTCTGAAGACTCTCTCCACAACACACCCAGATGCCAGGTATCTTTGTTGCATCATGCGCTGAGATAATGAATAGTCAGTAAACAGGAGGTAAGGTAATGTAAGGAAAAGAACATGTTTTTGGAGTTGAAGAGACTTGCATTGAACGTCCAGCTATACCACTTACTGGTTATTTGACATTGGACAAATTCATAAACCTCTTTGTACAGATATTATGATTTCAAAATCACCACCGTTGAAAAAACGGAATAAATAAGGCCACTTATCTCACGCAGGGTGGCTTCCAGAAATAAATGAATGATAAATACCTGGAAAAGCAGCTGGCCTCTAATCAACATTCAGTCAGAGCTCTTTCCCTTAGCCTTTTGTTGATACAGATCATTTAAAAGTTTGCCATCTACCTTATTGTTGTGGATAGAAGTTCCAAAGCTTGATACTAAGAAACACCTGCAGAAGGGCCTTTCAAGGACCTGCAAGTATATCAAAAAAGCAGTTACTGGCAAGAGATAAAGGCCATACCATTGAGAGGAGATGGAAAACCAATCTAGAAACCAGGCAGTGGAAGGCAGTGTGGTTCCTTTTGTTAGGAAAGCTTTTCTAAGGCAAAGCCCTTGAAGCCTTTGTATGTCAAAACCATTTTAAATGCTTTTTTTCAGATGCACTAATGGTATCCCTTCTGTGGGAAAGAAAGCATGGTCTTATCAAAATGCTATTGATTTTTTCAGAAGAAATCTGGAGACTGCATTAATGGAACCTTGCAAACAAGCTCAAAAGCCCACCGTTTTTTTATAAGCTGGCCACCTATTCCAGGACATAACATAGCTAATAAACTAAATTTTCACTTTTACTAAGCACTCTGAAAGACCTCATACATCTACCACTTCATTAATCCTTTTAAAAAAGCCTTATTAAGTAGAGATTATTATTTTGTATGTCGCAACCAGGCACACTGAAGCCCCGAGAAGCTAAGTATCTTGCACAAGATCACACAGTTAGAAACTGTTGGTGAGATGTGAACTGATTCAATTTTTCAATAGTTACCAAGTGATTACTATGTGCCAGGTCTATATGATTCTAAAATTAACGTTCCTTCCACTATATAACTCTTCCTAGTAAAATAAATGATAAAATAGTATTTTTACTATATTATATTAATAGTATCATACTATCACTTATAACTTTCTCTCAAAAAGTGAAAGCAGTTAGCCAGAACATGAGATACTCATAGCTTAGAAAATCCGGCTGATTGGCCTGGCCAGGCAAGTGCCCACATGCCCCAGCGCTACTCTGTGTGTGTCCTTCTCAAAGCTGGGTGCTTAAAAAGAATGGTCCTCTACAGCCAGAAGTGCCATTCTAAGAACAAGCATATGTAAATATCTGGGCTTGACTGCTTAAAAACTTTACAAGGATGATACACTTCAAAATATGTATTAGAAAGTGGAACACAGGTGAAGGTTAGTGCATACAACTCACTAAAGTGGGAAAATCCAATTGTTAACAGTGTCTTACATTTATTCAAGGCATGATCATTTTCCATGTACTATAACATAAATGATGCTATTTTAACCTCACATGGATCCTGTGAGATCCAGAAGGTGATGGTTGTTGTACCCATCCCTGAGGAAACTAAGATTCAAGTTGCTAAGGTCCCTGGTATTTTAGACATGTCCAAGGTCACATCACTATTCAATGGCAGAACTAGAATCTGAACTTAGGTTCTTTCTGCTCTTTCTAGTATGCAATCTGCATCGGTCAAAGATGAGTTAGGTTATATTGCAGGAACAAGTGGCCTTCATATCTCAGGAACTTGCAATAATAAAGCTTGATGTCTTGCTTATGTTCCTTGTCGGCTGTGGCTTTGATTGACTTTGTGTTTATGGCAGAACCCAGCTAACAGAGCAGCCTCTATCTGGAACAGAGCCAGTCATGTGGCAGAGCAAAAATGAAAATGAAAAACCCCACACTGGTTCTTAAAGCCTATGATAGAAAGTGACTGTCATTCTCAGTTCATTGGCCAAAGCAAGTCACACAGCCTTGTCTAGATGATATAGCAGAAATGTATTATTCTTCCCCAGAGAGAGGCCCCAAATAGAGGTAAAAACTTTTCAGTTTATATTAGGGCAGTAATGTATAAAGTAGTTGTGAGCCTCCTTTCCTTGTGTACCATGAAGTTATTCTCTAATAAATGTAGTATACTGATTAAGGAATATTTCAGATAAAATCAGTCAAGCAGTCAACCTAAACCATATAAAAATTAAACAATTAAATGAATTTAATATTTAAAAAGCAGCAATTCTTAAAAATGCATGTTGAGTAAGAAACCTCCTGCATTTACAAACAAAGCAACTTTCACTCTGGGCATAAACTTTCCATTTCTGGCAGCAGAATTAGAGAACACTGAAGTTGTCCTGTGAATGGGTGTCAGGCTATCATATTTGAATGTGTAATGAGTAAACATTGGCAGAAACCCCCTTTGCCACGTGACTTCAAAACAAACACCAGTCAGTGGGGAACTACCAGCTGTGTCAGTAGAAAAAAAAAAGAAAGAAAAGAAATGCACTCACACACCCTCTTCTCTCTCCTTGAAGCAAAAATCCCCTGCCAAAATCACCTCCCTCTAGAATGTAGGGCACAAGTGGAGTCTCACTTGTGTTCAAGCACAAAACCCCATCCCTGGAACGTCCTCCTGGCAAATCCATTTAAACAATATTCAGAGGAAAACAGACATAGGACATGGAACAGTGTTGAGTCATTCACAGAATCTTGCCTTCCCTTAAATCAACTGGAAGCTTTTTCAAAAAGGAGTATTTAGGAAGAGTTTAAAGTAGCTGATTTCTAATGCTGGTTGGTTTTTAAGGTCCCTTACACATCTAAGATCCTGTGATTCTTTTAAGTTTCTGTGATAAGAAAGAGCAAATTTGTTTCTTTACTTAAGTACCAAAAAGAAAAGGAAAAAGAATACACTTTATATATTAAAATTTCATAAGGAGTAAGATAAAAAAAAATCCTAGGAACTATAAAGTTGTCTTAGGTTAGTCAATCTGCATATAGAATTCTGTTCCTTAAAAATTTTTGGCAGTGAGTCAAGACCTGATTTGTAGAAATGACACTTCTCCAATACTTATTTTAGAGCAGTGAGGGGGAGGAGGAATGAACTGAATTAGACCTTTACACTGGAATTTTTGTAAAGGTCATCAAAGGGAAAACCCATAAAAAATCATTGTCCTTTAGTCACTTGCAAATATGATATGTGATCCTAAGAAAATGGAGAATCATTATTACATGTCATATTTTAAATTAAATAACTAAATTGTTATGTCTTCTTCCCCCCAAGAATTCAAGCTAAAATGAACCTGGATTATTAGAAAATGGTTCTAAGTGCATCTAATTGCGCCTTTCTGAAATGCACTGTAATTTTACTGGCATAATTGTTGCTAGCAAATCTTCAAAACTGATTTTAATCTAACTGTAAGTAAAGCTGGGTCTCAGGTACCAAGAAGCCAAAACAGAATATCTGAGTGAAAGAAAAAAAAATGGATATATTAACTCTTTCTCATAGCCTTCTGCTTTTCTAGCAACTTTCTAAAGAAAGAGTAAGTGGGCAGATGTGTGGAATCTCTAGAGTCTTAACGGGACCTGAAGAAACTTCTCTAATGGCTGACAGAAATAAATAGCACAAGAGGAATATCCAAGAGAAAAGATTGTGGCTCATTTTCAGAAGATTTTGTGTTACAGTTTCAAAGGATCAAAATGTTTGAGAGAGTTTGGGATCAATGGAGACTTAAACATAGTTTTTTTCCTTTCCACAACTCACTCAAATTTCTTATTCATTCCTGAATCAAATGGTTGATGGGACATACAGGTAGTAGTAGAAGTCAGTAAAATTATAAAAAGAATCAAGCATTATATATACATATATGTGAATACATATACATGTATATATATATATAGACATATATATAAATATGTGTGGATATATATCTATATATATGGAGATAAACACATTATATATATACATATAGTACTCATACCCATCATCTATGCATAAATGCATGCATACATATGGATATACACACGTACATATATAGATATAAACACATATATGAACATAAATGTGCATATATATTTATATATGTATTTAACTGTTTATAAGAGTCATTCAACTGTATTTTTAAAAAGCTAAACCTAATTATATGCCATCTGCAAAAATAAATGTTTTTTAGATTGAAGACAACTGTAAAAAATATAATATTTTCAAGAAAATCTAGCATATTATGTATACATATATGTAAAAATCTGCAGATGGAAGGATACTTTCTTGACCAAATGCAGAATCTCTAAAAAAAAGATAAATATGTTTGAGCATATAACAGAGAATTTAAAACCTTTATTGGTAATAGAAAGATATCACAAAAAGGTCAATAGACAAATGATAGGTTCAGAAATATTTGTACCATAGATGACAACACTTTGGTTTTGTTTTTACAAATCAACAAAAACAGACAAACTCATGAAAAAAATGAATAAATAACTAGAATAGAATATTTTCAGAAGAGCAAGTCCAAATGACCAACAAGAAAATGTAAATATGGTCACATTAAACTCTAGTCCAGAAAATGCAAATTAAAATAACAAAAGTGTATCTTTTTTTATACCCTCAGACTGGCAAAAATAGAAATAATCTATAAACTCTACTGGTGATAGATATGTGGAGAAATGGATGCTCATACATTGCTGAGAAAAATTTAACTGTTAAAACTGTGGTAGGCCATTTAGCAGCATATATAAAAAATTAAACATACATGTGCCATTCAACACTACAATCTCTTTCCTCGACATCTCTCAGATCACCAGTGCACAAGGGTCTTTGGGAAAGGACACTTAATGTCAGAATGTTTATTGTGACAAGAAATGGGGATGGGAGCAGGGATCAAAGCAAATGCTAATCAATGAGAATGTCTAAATAGATTATAGTTCATCCACACCAGGGATTATTATGCAGCCATTCCAAAGAATGAGTTACAGCTGAATAGCTGCTTTTAAGGAATTTCTATACAGTTACACTTCAGGAAAAAAAAGTAAGACTGTGCACTATTTAAGGTTCATAAAATAGAAAATAACCCAACCTCTCCCATATAAATAAGCATAAATGTATATATATAATTATATGAGTGGAGTGGGGGGACTGTAAAAGTATATATCAGGTCATTATTTATAGATATGTGGCAGGGAGGGGCGCAGAAGGGACCCAAAAGAGAAAATAAAGGAAAATTGAAGCTAAATATCACAAAAAAAGATTTCTCTAAATAATAGGTAAATATGTATGTGAGAAAATATGTATACATTTATGCAAAATTATATATATGCTTGAGTATACAAAAAATTACAACAGAATAAAACTCTTTCAAAAGCAAGCTCAGGATTGGTAGTTACAAAATAGTCACAGAGATGTAAAGGACAGCATAGGAAA